ATAAAAAATATAATCTCTGTGCCCATTGCAATGAGCTCTTTAAAAGCATTTCAACAGCTGTTAAAAACAATTGTGATTGCATTTGTAAATTCCTCTGCAAACTCAACAGGAAAGATGCACAGGCTCTCTCATGTGTATCGTTTACCAGCTGCTCAGGTTTCTTCAGTTATTAATGAGCTTATTATACAACTTGAATGTAAACTCTTCTAGCTTCTCTTTCTGTGATATTAGTATGGTAATCAAAAATAGCAGATCCTTTCCAGAAATTCCACTTTTTTTATATGATCTTTCCAAAGAAAGGTTAGAACATTTAGTGAAGAGGAGAAACATGGCGCCAGGATATGTTCCCACTTGGAAGTAACTGAGAGATGATAGATCTTCCTGTAAGTGAAAGTCCTGCAGAAAAAAGTAAGCCATCATAATGAATTTTTGGGTCATTAGCTCCAAGTCAGTCCAGCTCATGTCTAGCTCAAAAGAAAATGCTAAATACAGCTGATGCTAAACATGTTCCGTGGCTAGAGAAACTGCTATGAAAAGAGATTTCTGATTTAGATATTTCTGGTAGCATGATCTGCACTGCCTGATCTCCACAAATATCTTCCTTTTTTGGATATGATTTATCTAGTGAAAAGATTAAGTCATTGCATTTCTTCTGTTTCTTCCCTTTTTCTAAGGAGAGAGACGTGACAAGGTAGACTTAGGCTAGTGTTCCACATGAAGATTGTGGTGTAGCCCTGGGTATTTTGTATCTTCTGGCCCCCCAGAAGATATGATTCTTTAAGATATGATTGGCATAGTTCCCTCAACTATCCAGCCAGTATTTTGATGCGTGGATTGTTGCCTTTTAAAAGCTGTTCTATCCTTTTGACCCTTCTCCATACAACTTTGCAGCCTTTGGGCCACTTATACATGGTTATGCTCTTTGCTTATGAGCTCCCAACCTTAGCAGGAATAACTGCTACTGAATGGGAGACTGGGAGGTGTCAGTTGCTCTATCACTGTATCCTGAACACATGTTGGTAGTTTTTTATCTGAGGCTCTTGTGCAGCTTTCTTGCTGTCCTCTCTTTCTTGATAGCTCTTGTTAAGCTAGAATAATGTGTCCATGTGGAAAATCTAGTAGTCCCCCAATAGTGGGCTATTTCCCTGATTTATTGTTCTGTCATAATTTCATGAATTCTTTATTCTTGGATTGCTTAGCATGTATATCTGCCACAGTGTTTCTGTCAAATGGATTTGTGACTTCTTGATGTTTTTGCAGCTGATTAAGTATGGATTTTCATAGTTACATTGTCTTGTTTTTTCTGATGGGAAATATAATTCCTATTAACACACTTTTAATTTTTTTATGAGCTCCTTTCAGTGCTGGCAAAGTTAATTAAAAACTGAGCTTCTGTTCCAAATGAGCTATTATTTTACATAATGTAAAGCTAAAAGTCTTAGTCTTAGATGTTGCTTTTTTCCATTTGTGTTTTGGAGGCTTTGTGAAGGATTGTGTAAGAACTGGCAGATAACTTTCCCTGTCTCTTCAGCATTCAATTACTTTCCACAGCTTCTTATCCTGGTAGCTTGTTATGGGATAAAATGACGTTGCTAAATGTGCATGCAAAACAACTCTTTATTCATTCGACAATGCCACTGAGCAGTTTGCATCTAAATGCAAAAAATTTTACAAACAGGTATCAAATGGTAGTTCACATCCTTTGATATGTCTGAGGGACCAAAGCCTTTCAGCTGTAACAAGGAACACGGAACATGAGTCGCTTAATTATATAACACCGGTGAAGCATTTGCTGGCTTCGGGAATGTTTAAAGTGTGCAGAAAAGCACGTGTGTTGTAGAATCGGACCTGGGAGCCCTGGGAGCGGATTTGAGGTGTGTGCTGTGAGGCTGCTGCTGCACCCACCTGGGATCCCTGCTGAGATGGGCGCCGTATCAGCACGAGTGCCTAGCGCTGCCCGAGCTCTGCGCCAGCATGGGCCAAGGCAGCGTCCGGGCGCTGCACCGTGCGAGGGGGCCAGGCTGCTGTCAACGCTGGGAACAGCAGCAGCCCTCTGTTAGAAGTGGGTTTGAAGACCTGTGCCGACCCGAAGTCCCGAGGACTCCCTTTTGGAGCCGTGTCAGCAGAGGGGCTTCCCTCTGTGCGTGGCCAGTGGAAGGGAAGAATTACAGAGCTGACGACTGAGTCGAAGCTGTGGTTTGTAACACTGGTTTGCAGTGTAGGTATCTTAAAAATAGCTAGATATGCTGTTAACTAATCCTGTGGGTGAGCTGTGCGAGCTGAATTTGAAATGCATTCTCCAAGCAGCCTCTGAAAAGCACAACAGGTCACTTCGCATTGCCAGGAGTTGAGGCAAAATTATTGATAGGTAGCAGCAGTGTGGCAGCATCTTGTCAGTACCTCCTTTCTGGCCTTTTCATGTGGGGATGTTCCATCTTCACCCTAGCGTAGGAGACGGAGGGCAGGATTTCATGTCCAGTAGTGGATCAAATGTTTCCGCTGCTTCTAGTGGGGATGCAATGTTGGTGCGTTCTCTGTAGACACGCTGCATTTTTCCTCCTTTGCTTCCAAGTCTGCCAGGTAACGGCCTGTTGTTTCTACTATGCTTACCTTGGAAAGCAGCCAGCTTGTAAGCATAGCCCACTCAAAAATGACAATTTATGTGGCTTTTAAGTTATTATAAACATGTAATATTTGCCAAAGTATGCTTCAAAGTACTGTGTATCCCTGATAGAAAGGCAGCCCTGCAAAATTTCAAGTTCTCCAAAGTGTGGAATTTTCCAATTAAATGGCTAGAACATTTTTAGGTTGTTTATAACTTTTTTCTTTGATATTTGTCGTGGGAATATATTTAAAAAATGAAGCAATTACACAGACTCAAAGCTTTGGCAGAGTTATATGCAATCGATAGTAACAGTTTGTCTTTATTATAAAAATAGTGACATAAATTTGTCTGTGGGCAGTGTTCTCCAGCTCTTAGGTAAGTACTGTTTAGCCAGGATGACTTACTGGGTAGAGAAATGAAGATAAGTTTCTAGGTTTTCTTTTCAGTCCTTTAACAATTTCAGAATTAGATAAAATCCGCAATGTGATTTTGCCATTTATTCCAGGTGGCTCCTCGCTGCCTTTTGTGAGTTTCTTGTTGGGAATTTAAGATGGGGCCTGCTGAAGTACTATGTAGCATGTAACCAGCTCCTAAGAACAGGGAACAGTCTAGTAATGTGAAAGATCGCGCCGATTGCCGCAGTTAGTTAGTTACAGTTATACAGGTGGTGACTCTCATAGTGTAAAAGATGATTTGAAATAATAAAATATCTTTGCGCATTCTGTACAAAGGTATACAGTAATGTTACCCATCCAGAATGAAATGCTGCTATTGCCCCTGATTTTGTTGCATGTATTAGAAGCAGAAAAGGAGGGATTATTTGGGTTAACTTACTCTGTTTTAAAACTGAGGGAGAATTTCTAAAGGAGTGTCACAGGCACAAATCTGCTGAAATCTTACCCAAGTTGGGTGCCTGCCATTTGTGCCTCTGAAAATCTGCTTTCAGGTTACTCGCATTCCCCTTTTTGTTTTTATAATTGTACTCCTTAGAAAATTAGGCTAGTTCTCTGTCACACTGTTGTTACCCTAGTGATGGTTGGTGATTTTAATTGTTTGTTGAACAGGCTGTTTGAACTGGTTTGTGCTTCTCTTCCCTGTCCCTTCTGTGATGTTAACCCAATGAGAAAAATGCATCTTGATGGTAAAAGAGTCATTAAAAATCCCATTAATATGTCAGCACATAGAAGGGAGCTTTGTGTTACTGTTCTGTAAGCAAGAAGCTTATCTTGGAGATGGTGAATATAGGAAGGGTTTTAGGAGCTTGGAAATTCAACATTTTCTTTAATAATGCATTCAGGATCTGTCACAATGTGTATGAATAACTTGAGATGATTTTACTGTTCCCAGGGAGTCATTTTTGGTTTGCTTCTTAATACTGAATGTTCAAAATACTATACTGAACACTTGTTTTGTGTTTGACTTACTGTTGCTTAGCACAAAATACCCAGTTTCTCTTCCCCAGCTGAGAATTTTATTCTTAAATAAAAGATTCTGAAACCGTAAGTGTCCCCTGCAAGAATAACTGTGAACTAATTTGTTTACATGCTTTGATGCAGGAAATAAAAATCTTTGATTCATTGGTTTGTTTGTAATATCTCCAATTAGATAAAACATCAGTGTTTCATTTTCTGCTTTTAGTCTTTTTCACTTGGATTTGTTTTTTATCAAAGCTGGTCAGCTTTTTTGGTCCCCTACTGGCTTTTAAAACTTGAGGACTTAGGGCTGACAGCTGCCAACCACAAGTGGCTTTTTTTGTGCTGTAGCCCTGGCCTAGAGCTAACTTACAGTTTTTACATGCAAATTTTGCCTTATTTGTATAGTAAAATATATACGTAGCTGACCTCTCTTCTCTGTTTGTTGGAAGATGATAGTAGGTGGCTTCCTTATCGAGTGCTGAGTGAGAATAAATTATTTTGATATGTTCAAAATTTTCCTTTGGTAAGGGGTGGAGAAGATATGGGGAGTACAAGAGCTGTTCTTCATCTGCTAAACCTGTTTTCTGAAGCCCTCTTAGCCAGGGCATGCAGTTTACTGTGTGCTCTTTAATGCAGGCTTGTGGGGCCGCAGTAACTGGAAGCATGGTATCAACTATAAGTATGGAAAGCCTTGAAGCAGCTATCGGAAAATTATTTGTGTGTGTAACATACGTAATCAAAAATGAGGTAGCTTTTGGTAGAAAAAGCTCTGTCCTTGCACAGTTCTTGCTGCAGCAGCTCAATTTGTCAATTATACTAGATTTTCTGAATACAATAAAGAATCAAAACAAGCTACTTGTCATAAATCATTTTGTTTCAGCAAGCAACTGTAGCTGCTTCATACATACAAAATGTTTGTACATACATACAAGATTTGTACATACATACAAGATTTGTTTCCAAATCTTCCATATCATTTTCCAAATGATTTTAAATACCTTACCTGATGTTCTTATTCAAGGTTTATTGGTCTAATGGTTGGCTGGAGCAGCAGTGGAAAGAATAAAGGTAAACAAGAGTGAAAAACTATCAGATCAATTAGGTGTCTGTACCCTGAGTTATCTGCTTGCAATATGTAATGGCTGTACTGCAAGGAATTTCAGCCAGATTTTTGCATTTGGAAAGATGCAATTACTTGGTAAAGCAAATTAAATATTCTATTAAATCTTTGATTGAATTATAATAGTCAGATTAAGTCTTGGCAAATCCAAGAGATAATAAATTGTAAGATGCAGCAATAATCATATTTTATTGGTATTATTTGCGGAAATTACTCATTAAGTATTGTACTCTTTATTTTGTGCATGTGTAAGCTAATATCCGTTGTACTGTTGGGGAGGTCAGGGTTGATGTTCATGGAGATAATTATCTTTTATTGTCCTTCTCTAGTCTTTTCATGAAACATGCATTAAATCTGCTGTTTTTTAAATGCAGGAACTGAATAAAAGGGAAATAGTTGTAATGGTTAATTGCTTGTTCCTTCACATGTATTTTCTGTGATGGTGATCTGTGCCATAGTTGTATGCTTCTTGAAATACTGAAGCACCCAAGAGAAGGATCCAAAGTAAAATATAGTTTATTAAGTGGTAACTGGAAACCGCCAGTGCTTCTTGCCTGTTTTTTATGGGCTACTGGTTAGAGGGGGCATCTGTATGATCAATAATTCAGCTGCTTCTCAGAGCCTCCTGTGCAAGTTCTGCTCTTCTCTAACTGAAAGACAAGTGAGAAACTGTGTGGTCAAAGAGATGAGGTGAGCTATAGATCTTGGAAAAACAATAGCGTAATCTATTAGTTTGGTGCAAGCAATTTTCTTTTTAAAATATGCTGGTGTATATAAACCAACTTCATACTTCGAGCATTGGTGTTGGTAAAACTCACCTTTGGAGTTTTTCTTAAAACATCACCACTGCCACCACCCAAATTAAAAAAAAAATACATACAAACAAACAGCAGGGCCCAGTGATTTGTTGTACTTGAGACAATCTGCTGGGATGTGTCATAGCACTGACTCTTGATCTTGGTCAGCCGTTTTGTCACTCTGCTCATCGGATTGCTGTCTGCTGAGACCCCTGTGTTGTTGTCTTCCAAGGCATTAAGGACTGTCCAGCTGCCAGTTGCTCTGTCTGGACAATGCTTTTTTACTTTTTTACTTACTATTTTTTTTTTGCAAGCCTTAAAAACCAGTGATATTGAGTAACTTAGGCTTGGTAGTGTTTCCTGGGCACGTGGGAAATTGGCAGTCTTTGTTCCCATCTTGATCACCTGCTTGAAGAAGTCCAGTTCAGTTCACCCAGAGCAAAGGTTTTGAAAAACTGATGTGCAAATTGTATCCTTGCTCCTGGAAATGGTATCTCGAATGCAAAGTTGCCTGGGGATTGGAATTTCCAGTTTGCCTGTAATTCCTTGTGCTTGGAGCAAATGAAGAACTAAATTGCTAAGTCAGTTTGCACCTAACTGCTGGCTTTCTTTGGAAAAACATTAGAGAAAAGGCATAATTGGTTCTCTGTGTGATTTTCTGCTCCATTTTAGTTGAAAATAACATTTACCCTTTCCACTGACTAAAACAGAATTAGTCCAAATCCCTAGTATTCCCTATTCAGTTTATGAAGACTAATGAACATGCAGTTTTCTTGCCTGTGGCTATTGAATGGAAATGTACAGACCAGTAATAATACTATGTTGTTCTCTTGGCACTAAAGAATATTTCTTTTTTTTTGCAGTGATTAAAAACTGATTTGGTAGCTGCATAATACTTAAGTCTCTAGTTGTCATGCAGTTGACTCTGCTTGTCAGATAATATTGCTTAATTTCAGAGCTTAAATCTTGTTTTACAATGCTCTAGGAAAGAAAGTTACCCTGAATATGTTTGTGTAAGATCTCTGAAATATCAAGAGCTCTCAAGGAAATGTGAAATGTTTGGTGAGTCTTCTCTGTGAAACTTCTAGACCTTTAGTTTTAGAGCTAGAAGACCCTTTTTAATCAGATTTATTTTGAATCTTTTTCACACTTCCAAGATGCAGAAAAAGTCATGATGAAAAACTAGTTTTGTTGTAGAAAATGGGCTTCTAATAGGCACTGTTTAAAAGTTTTCAAACTATCATCATAACAAGTCGCGGTTTGTCTGTCATTCCAGCTCTACCTTGAAAGAAAGCATGTAGATGATCAGCAAAATAAGCCAAAATATGATCACAGGACTGATCACTGCATACACAGGACATCTGATCACAGCATACCTCTGCAAAACTAAGCAAAAGAAACGTGTTCCCTTAAATATTGAAACAATTTCAAGAAAAGATTCTAATAAAGATGAAGTTTACAAAAATGCAACTGTTTTGGAAAGTAACTTGTCCCATCGTAGCCAAGAATTTTTAAAATTAACTGAAATGTAAAACAAAAATTATATTTTAAGAATTACTGTTTCCTGTTACCTGGAGACAGAAAATGTTTTCCTTCTGCTGTGGCAACCAGAACATGTGAACGTACAGCACCCCAATAACTTGGAGTTCTGCCACAAAATAGATGAAGAACTACAAGCCTGGTCTGAGGGTGCCCTTTTTCTAACAATTTGCAGCTCTGAACCTGAGTCATAAAATTTTGGCCGTCTCCTCACAGCGCTGGCCTACCCAGCGGGTGGAAGGAGGCTTTAAAAACGCATGACAGCCTTTATAGATGCTAAATCCAGTGCTGAGTGATTGCTGCAATAGGAAGAGGTGGCTGTCAACAGCAATAAAGGAATAGTGTTGAACTTGGAAAACACTTAGGTTCTGTTGCTCCCTCTCCAATCCTTTAATTCATTTCATATGCATCTCATATTTCAGATGAATCGGGTCTGGGTTCTCTCTGTTTTCAGGTTTTTCACGTTTGTTTTAGTTCATTTTGTAAGTTCCTATTAACTACACCTTTCCCACCAGGGCTATTTAGCTGTTTCTTATCATGCTTTGAAGTTCCATGCATAGATTTTTTGCAGTGCTTTGTAGCTTTCACATTAGGAATAGCTGATTTTTATATGTGAAAGTGCAGGCAGAGCGGTGCTCTCGCTGACCTGCTTGCGGCTCTGGGCACATGCCAGCGCATGCAGGACCTGGTGGGATGGATGCCCATCCGGCACCGACCGGCACGAAAAGAAGGGGTGCATAGGCTTCCCAGCCTGCAGGTGTAGGCAGGTGTATTTTAAATCACATACCAGCCTGTAATTTTGTCACCTGAAGCCGCACACAAAAATAAATGGCTTGAGTGTGTGGGCAGTTTCACCCTGTAGCTGGGGTGCTCCGCGGGATCGCTCGGCTGGGAGGCCTCCGGAGTGCTGCTTTGCTGCTGGACCTGCCGGCTTTGTAGCTTTGGTGGCACTTGGGAGAGGGAGCAGTTTTCCTGATTCTCCCACCAGTTTGCATGGGATGCACTTTATTGTGATGGAGGTAGTGCTCCAAATGACCACAGTATCTGTTCTTCTGGATACATGTTGTGGAGATGTGCATACATATATGTTTATACAGAAAGCAGTAAGCAAAATCTACGGCATGTGTCACACTTTAAAGTTGAGCCTGTGAGGATAGATGGCATTGCTTAAAAAGCAGCCTGAGTATCATTGGTGTCTCAATATAAATGCTGAGGCATTTAACTCATCAGAATGTAGTATGACTTACATATGTATATATAGTAATCTTAAACAAAACTCTTCTGGAGTGCAGGCTGAAAAAGAGAAACTTCTGAACTTCCTAAGGTCTTTGCTATAGCTCAGATACCTCCACTGAGGTGGGAGGGGAAAAGACCTTTCCAAGACAATCTCCCATAGAATAATACAGATTTTTTTTTCTCCTCCTTTTGCTTCTATCTCTCTCTGACATTTTACACTTTTATTCTGCTACCTTTAAGATTCCCCTCAAGGATCCTTGGAGCCTATGCGGTGTGTGTGTGCGTGTATGTGGCCAGTTGGTTACTTAGCTCCTGCTGCTGGCCAGAAAGAGAGGACACTTCACTGCAGGATGTAAAGATGTAAATAATGTGTATTTGTTTTGTTCAAACTTGGTAGCATTAAAATCTTTCTGGTATAATTATCAGCAGGCTTTTGCAGTTAGTGTGATTTTTTCGCTGTGCTGGAGAGTACAGGCTAGATAGGGTTCTCTGTATCCTTACATCAAAGAGGAAAAAAATCAAAATCTAACTACTTTCTTGTGACCTTTTATTTCTATGGACTCTGACACAAAAACACACTTGAGATAAATCATGTATGTTACAGTACAGAAGAATTAATGGATTACTTTTCCATTGCTCATTTTAAAATTAAAAACACCAGCTTCCTGTTTTTCTTGTCCTCAAGTCCTGTCCATCTGAGCTCTTCTAATTTCTAAAATAGCCTGTCAAAGAGGAATTCAGTAAAGTGACTGAAAAGTGACTTCTACTTAACATTTGATTTTATAAACAGTTGGTTGAGACCTAAATAGCAGGAAGCAGTCTATTTTCAGTCTCTAATTTAGAGAATTGGTATTTCCATATTTGCTTTGTCACAGCTGTTAGTAGTTGCTAAATTGTAAAAGCTTGTAGCCATTACAGATGCTTGGAGGATTGCTATGAGTGTTCTGCCATAAGAAGAAATGCATTAAGAAGCTCTATGCTTTGTACATTTTAATTTATAATAAGGAAGTGTAGCTGATACTACAGACACTGAAATATTTCAAGTCTAGACTACCGTCTTAAAAAAGAAAGGCTGCGTTTTGATGGAATCCACTGGAAAATAACTGATAAGGGCATTTGAAGTATAACAGGGTTCAAAAAGTCTCAAATTCTCCAAGCCAAAGTGAGCGAGGAAGTTTGTGAAGCAAAGTTTCTTACCATCAGAAAATGCCACCATTAGCACTTTAGCAAAGTCAGAGGTTATGGATGAAGAGTTTAGTGTTGGAAGCATTCTCTTACAGCTCTCTGTAGCTTTGTGTTATAAAAATAGCTTATTGAAGGTTTTAGAATGGAACTGCATAGTGTAACAAGTGGCGGAAATTATGATGTAACGGGTACTTTTATGACCCCTTAAATGTCTCGGTGTGCCTTACAAATGTGTTTATGTAGCTGTTCTCTAACTGCTGCTTGGGAAGGTGGAATATTCTGGTTATTTTTTTTACTGTATTCATGCATTGGTAACCGTGTTGGAAAAGGAAAAATATTACTTCCAACTGAACCTGTGGATTTGAAGATTTCTGTAATTACTTGTGACTTATCTCTATCTAACATAAGGCCAACTTTCTTTTTCAGAGCCATGGTGTCATGGAAAGGGATATACTTTCTACTTGCACTATTCTTGGGAAGCTTTTTTGGAAGTATCTTCATGCTCAGTCCTTTTCTGCCTTTGATGGTTATCTCTCCAGCCTGGTATCGCTGGGTCACCGACTGCATTGTGGCCACTTGGCTCACACTCCCAGTGGTAAGTTGCCGTCTGAGCCAAGTTATGGCAACCCTTAGTTAACCTAGGCCTTAGTTTGCTTACAAACACTTAGGATTAAAAATATATGTCTGTATGCTTTTTGAGTAGTCTCTAGCATTCTTACTTTCAGTGGCGACTTTGAGCTTTGGTTCAGTGTTGCTGGATGCTTGTATGCCTATCTGCAGTCCTTTTTTTCTCCCACAATGTAATTTATGTGTTAGCTAACGCCACATCTTAATTGGCATTTCTAAGGCCTTTCTATGACAACTTCCTCCAGCGTCAGTTGAATGCTGATCAGATGAGTGTGGGTGAAGTGCTAGTAAATAACGGTTGAGTTTTTTGAAGTTTTCTCTTCTTTTTTTTTTTTTTAATAGCAGACTTTCCTAAATGAGTTGTCTTAGAAACTCCTTTTTACTGTGCTCCATCCGTCTAATTAAGAAAATTATTTACTGTCTGCTATGTTGCTGCTGACCTTCACTGTTCTCTTGCTTAACCCTCTTAGAATTTAGTCCTCGTAGTTGAATTAGAGACATGATTTCAGGGCAAGAAGAGCTTCCTGTAGAGGTGAAGCTTTTCCCTGAGCTGTTCCTGAGGAAAGTTGTTATGAATAGAATCTACTTGTCTCTTCATCTCTAAAAATCAAGAGACTTTCTTCCTGTCGGTCTTTTAAAGATTTTTTTTTCTCTAGTAAAATGCTATATTGATGCTCAGTAATATGTACCTTCTGATATATCAAAAAGTTTTGTTTTTCTCTGTTTTAAAAAGATCTGAGCTGTTTCGCTTTATTTTTTTTTGTCTTTTTCACGATTGCTAAATGCAATGAAATTAAGAGGGAATAAATAATTACCCACGAAGAGAATATAGGGATCATTATTTCTTGCCATGATGTAATTTAGCTGGGTACTGACAGTGTCAGAAGATTGACCTTTCCTCTGTTTGTCTTCTGTTTTTTTTCTAAAATTGCTAACCCCTGAAAATGGGGTACTGGCCATTTATGTGATTAGCTGCCTGGCTTTATAACTTTGGATTATTACAACTACTTTTTGTACCTTTGCAGTCCAGAAGTTTGATTTCAGTCTACAGTGGGACTGAACCAAAATAATCTGAATATTTTTTTCTGAAAAGAAGTCCATCTTAAACTCAGCTTTTTATGTTAAAAAAATTGCATCTGTGTGTTTTTTTGCCCAACCTTTCTCAGTCTTAGACTTTTTCTGCGTCGATTTTCCATTCTAACAACTCAATTCTTGGTCAGAAAAAGCAAGGACTTGTGTCTCCAACGGACAAACCAATGTGCACCAGTAGGACTTCCAGCAAGGGAGCTGTGCCTCTGTAGATTTAAGAAACTTCCATCTTTCTCACTCCTCTCACACATGTTACTTCCTGTTTATCAGAGTCAGGAGGATGGGGTTAGTAACTGGTTCCTTAACTGTTTCAGTTTATAGTCTTGTTTTATCATTCAGGGTATGCGGGACAGCAGATCTGTTCACTGATATGTTCAAGTTGATATTAAAGATGCATTAAGGTTCTTAGTAACCATCCAAAACTCAGCTGCTTCTCTCTTTTCTGGAGTGAAGAAAAATCTTTTTCCTTTTGAGATACACGACCTGTTCTGGTTTTGCAGTGGTTCATAGCTGTTCTTGATGAGCAACGCTTTTGCCAGAATTAGAATGAACTGGATTATTAATGAGATTAATATACTGCTTTCATTCTGAGATCTCAAATAATATGCAGTTATGGAACTGTCATTCCAATTTTATAGGTGATTTAGCTTAAACTGAGAAATTTGTGTTTTTTAAGCTTCTGTGGCACAGAGGTGGCAGAATGATCAGGAGAACAGAAAATTCTTCTGCTTCCTGGGACTCTTTCTAAATTACTAGACTTTGTGGGTTTTTTTTCTGTACTTTCCTAGGGGGAAAAGGGGAAAGAGAAGTTAATGGGGAAATGCTAAATGTTTGCATTTCTTGTTCCAGGGTCAAATATTAAGTTTACCCCTCTAGATGTTTCAGTCCAATTGCATTTTGGTCCTATATTCTTCTGTGCTAACGGCTTGGGCATAACAGCTTTTTCTTCTGCTATATTGGCTTGGGCATAACAGCTATATTCTTCTGTGCTAACGGCTTGGGCTTCTTCCCCCCTCTCAGCTGCTCTTTCTGTATTCTAGCCCTTCTTGCAGGTAGAAGTTAAGCACAAGTGTGTTGACTGTTTGGACGCAGGCAGCAGAGCAACTTCAGATATCTTCCCAGCACTAACGATCCTGAGCAATAGAGGATTTGTGTAGCCAGTTTTTGTTTCCATAGTTTTAACCCAGCTAGTTACAGTCCATCCTGATGATTGTATGTTTATTTGTATGTACTAATGTTCTGGAAAAAATGGGGCAAGGTTAAGTTTCATGCTGGATACTTTGGTCATAAAAAAGATTTAAGAAGTACCATTTAATTGTTGTTTCCCCTCTCATTAAAGGAAACAGCTGACTGTTACTGTGTAAAAGGTGGCATTTTCTATTAGAAAACAATGAGAAATTTGTTTACCAGTGACATTTGTGTGTGAACAAATGAAATGATAGCATTGAAATTATTTTTTATTGCTAATGGGCTATTGCTTCTCTTCTGGGAGTAAAGTCATTATACTTAAATATTACTCTAGGCTTTGCTGGAGATGGTATTTGGTGCCAAGGTGGTTGTCACTGGTGATGGATTTGTTCCTGGAGAAAGGAGTGTCATTATCATGAACCATCGCACCCGAATGGACTGGATGTTCCTGTGGAACTGCCTGCTGCGATACAGCTACCTCAGACTTGAAAAAATCTGTCTCAAATCCAGTCTCAAAAGCATTCCAGGATTTGGTAGGTCACTAAACATTTCGATTGGAAAAGAAAACATGTTAAAGAGTTCTCTTGCCCAGCGCTGTTTGTATCCTGTTAAATGGCGAAGGTTTAAATACTCTTTTAATTATTTAGAAAAAAAGTCTTACCTAAAATACATATAGCATGTTGAATATATCTCCCATAAATTTCCCAGAGGACAGCTGGACTGCATGTTTAAGCACATGACGCTGTTCATTATAAAGCCATATATCTTCTTTAGTTACTGAAAGTATTTTTCCAAATTGTGAAAGATAATTTTAAAAGTTTTTTTGAAATCTTTTTGAACACTGGTTTTAGTGCTTTTTAACCCCTTGTTGCAAATGCTCTCATCAGACTTTTTTCTTCATTATCCTTTTCATACTATTGAGAATATTGGGGGCAGAAAAGAATTTTAAAAAAGCCCTGTAAACAATTCAAAGATGATAGTTCGTTTTAATAATTGTAGTTTTAAACTGAACTTGGTTGCCAGAACTATGCTGTACAGGATATGAAATAATCAGTATTTATAGTGATGTAGGCTGAGAACAGATCTGAGTTGCACATACTCAGAGAAAGCCTAAAAATTGTCACACAAATAGTTTTTAAATAAATAGGCAAACTCATTTGATATAAAAGCATCTCTTTGCATTTTGTTTATCTCTTAGATTTATTTGCTGTTTCATACAAAACTAGCTTGGGCAGGATCTGCGTCAACTTTATGATGCTGAAAGAGTAACCTTTTTTATGGTTCTCTTTCGTCAGGCCATTTATCTAAACAGATAATGTTGGCAGGATTCCATAAGGAGGAACATTCAGATTGTTCTGCTCTTATTGCATTCACTTCCTTGGGGTCTTATTTCTCTAAATAAGAATTGCAACTAGGTAAGGTATTTTTTTTTGCTCACATTCAAACCTTGTGGTCAGTTTTACTCGAACAAAGACTTCTCTTCTAGAGTTGTACAAGATCAGAAAAGATGTATTTAGATAAATGTTTTATCTTCATAGTGTAGCAAAGATGTTTTGGAATCCTCAAAATCAGCTGCATGTGCAATTTTTAAAGAAGCATTGGGAGATGAAATCGTACGAGTACATTCAGGAGGATTCATAGGTTAATCTCTTAAGCAGCATGTGTTTTTATAACAAAACACTCTCGTGTATGCTTGGCTAGTATTTGCTTCAGAAGTTTGGATGATATATGTGCTCGGCAAAATTTTGCTCCTACGGAGGAGTCGAGGTGTTCTTAGAAGCTGATTTTTTTCAATCCATGCTTTGGTGCCTAAACTTAACACATATCATAGATTTGGGTGGGCAGGTTAATGTCACTGGATTCTAATGACATTTTTGCTTATGGTCTAAAATGGTGGCTCAAGCCACTAATGAAATTCAGTGCTCGCTCTGGAACATGGCCTGTGGTGGTAGAGAGGCATGGGAGACAGGTACTTGTTTCTCTTGTTTCTTTTACAGGATGGCAATTTTGGGCAGTGAAGCAGAGTGGGTTCCTGAATCGAGAACGTTATAAACAGCTGTAGTTACATATGATAGATACCAAAATATCTTTCAAATTATATGGGATCTGGCTGCCTAGATCACAATGTCATGTGTTATGGTTTATTTTTAATAGCATGAGATTAGCAATTTACTAATTTCAGGAAAGGATTTTGGCTAATCATGTCCTTAAGGTAGGCCATCACTTAGTGGTCTTAAAATTGTGAATGATCAGCTTCTGTTCAACCACAGAGTGTCCAAAAAGAGGCTTCAGAAACGCAAGCCTCCTTTTTTAGCCAGCCTGCATCTGAGTGCCAGATCCTAGCAAAAATAAAGTATTCCCTATAGCCTCGTAATTAGGGGACAGTTGGAAAGCAAGGCTCTTGGTTTAAGTTGAGGTGGACAGAGGAAAATTACGAATCCATCCCTGGCAGTGTCCAAGAAACATGTAGATGAGACACTTAGGAACATGGTTTAGCAAGCACAGTGGAGAAGGGTTTATGGTTGGACTCAGTGCTCTTAGAGATCTTTTCCAACCATTATGATTCTGCGAAATTTGGTGGGACAGTAACATGGTAGGAAATAGCGTCCAAAGAGGGTAGTCCTTCCAGGAAGAGTAGAATCCCTCCTAGTTGTCTCTGATGGCCCTCCTGTGTTATGTGATGGACCTTTAGCAGATCTTTGCAGGATTTTGTTGTGTTTTTAGGTAAAGATCCGAGGACTTTTTACTGAAGCTTTGCCCATTTTATAAACATTTAGAGGCCAAAACATAGTTATTAGAACAACTACTTTTATCATGTCTTTCAGTTTCATACTTGCATATATTTCTCTGAATCACTGGTGGCTGATCAAATGTATGGGACTACGGAAGGATTGACATACTGGCTAAACAGAACTTCTAATAAACTTCTACATAATGGTTAATATTTCTTTGAGTTTGGGAACAGATGAATTTACAGCTTTAATTTCTCAGATCTTTTAAAGGTTGTCTTTTAAGCATTAATTTTAAATGATGTATAGTAAAAGCTTTAGAATGCAACCCTTTCATGTCTGTGTTTCTGCAAACCTTGCAGTTATTAAGCGTTCTGCCTCCGTTGTCCTAAGTGCTATCCCGGTTTTGTAAAAATAGGTCTGTGAGAGATTATATTGATCCGTGTGGTATGGTAGGGGAAGGGCTAAGCTTGGATTGGAAATAGCTCAGAGTCCCTGTTGCCTCCTTTACAGGTGGAAAGAGTAAAGGTTTAAGACTGTGTATTGCAAATAGACATTTATTTTCAACGTAGGAATAGAGAAAATCACAGGAGACAGTGCCTCAATGAGAAGCATTGAATCACTTACCCAGTTCTTAAGTTATTAATTCTTAGCATTCCAACATATCAAAAAACTTTACATTGATTAAGGAAGAGCCTTGAAAAGAAAAGAAAAAACAAAACAGATGGTCCTTTCTTCCTGGAATCATAGCTTCGGCATGATGAATTGTGTGCAGGAGAGTTTTCAAAAAGCAGTATTAAATTTCACTAATCTCAATTTCAGAAATAATCTTGCAGCATTTCAGTGCAATTTGCCAAAGTCAGAGTCCCAGGGGAGCCCCGCTCTGCTCCTTGGCTGTTGCTGCAGTTTCTCACATGCCATCAGCAGCTCGCCCGGAGCCCTTCAGCAGGGTCAGATTTCAGGAGAATTTCTCATATCAGTGACAGCTTCCTGTGTAGTTGGACCAGATAGGGCTTTTCTAAAGCACTTGTGATAGAGGTGTGCAGTTTATACTCTCACCTGTTCTCAATTAAACATGAACAGCATAGGAAGCAAGACAGATTAATATGCAATTGCATTTGGCATATGCTATAGAATGCAAACTGCTGTGTTAGGCAGCAAGGGAAATCCCCAGCAGTGTCTGATGCCCAGTCATCTAATGCCTAGAAGTTAGTTGCATCTTTTTTATTTTTCTCTTGAAGGTTTCATTTGTTACAGTCTTTTCCTTACTGGAAAGAGCAATGTGTCTTAATAATTGGCAATTTATGTGTGTTTATTGTTTTAAACAGGATACTAATAACTGATGGGCTTGTAGTAATACCAGGATTTTGGGGAAGTGGTTGAAAGTTTCTTAACACCTATTCGCCCCCAAAATTAAAGACAATTAAAATGTGGATTTAATTTGAGATTTCTCAGAAGAAAGAGGAGGAAGATGAGGGAGGGTGACCAGAGGGGTTAGTGTCAGTGTATGGCTGCAACATGAGAAAATGTTCACTAGGTTTGCCTAATGCAAATGGCAAAGATAAATAGCACAGCAGTTCGGTTTACAGACACAAAGGAGGCAGGTGCTCTGTTGCAAGCTCTGTTGATGGACATGTCCTGGAAGACCGGCCATTTTGAAGAAATCTCTCTGAGTCTGCTGAAGCCCCGGAATTAGGATTGGAGATGACTGGGAAGGGGGACAGTGGGGTGGGAGCCAGAGAGGAAAGGGGAAAGCGCTAACAGGCGAAAGAGGAGAGCAAGCAAAGCGAGCAGAGGCAGAGGGAGCCAATTGAGCAAAGTCTGCAAATCTTCATCTTTGCCTTCAAGTTATTGTATCGCTCTTAAAGACAGTGTGATGCAGGAGCTGATTAGCTGCTTGAGTTATCTTCATTTTCCAGGAAGCCGGGCAAAACAACTCTAGGGATCCCGTGTTTGCCATGGGCTAAGAGCAGGTGCGCTGCCGCTTGTCATGGATCAGCTACCTGGAGGTAACGTGTAGCTGTGGCTAAGCCTGGGAAAATTGCCCCTTCACGCCACTGACACGTGGGTAGAGGCTATCCACATGCTGCAGGGTATCCACGCGCTCTTGCAGGGCCCTGGGGGCTCTGCCGCAGCCACCTCCACAGGCAGCAAGGGAGTGATGCCACAGGAAGAGCCTGTGCTCAGGTTAGACTCGGATCTACATTAAAATTCCCATCAATAGAATATATTGGCTTAAAAATTAAAAGCGTAACCTGCTGAACTTTCTAGGATAGTGTACATCTCAAGGATCTTCGTTATGATAAAAGAGGCTGAAAGGAGAGTTTTGAGGAGCTGTGACATTTTGTCTTCTAGGAATTCAATTATGAGCTGCCAGGCTTAATTACTGCAGAGTTGTTATCCTGGGTGATTTTTAAAAGGGAAATTGAAAAACAGACTCCGTAGGTAGTGGCAAGCACTGTTCGTGTAGCACTTGGTGGGGAATGCAGGAGTGTCAGACTCTTGAAAAAGAACTTCAGCTAGTTTTAAGTGTGTGTGTGTGTGTGTCTTTAATGGAAAAGGAGACTGTTTTCCAGCTTGGCCCATTTTGTTGGATTCTTCAGAAGAGACACAGGGAGACTTTCAGGTGTACGTCACTGGAATTCTCCAAACTGTCCAAACAGAAACACCAAAAGAACAGATACCCACCTACCTTCGTGAAAGGTTGCTTATCCTTCCTGTGTTAGGACTCTCTCTGTTCTCCTCACCTATTCAAAAGACTCATCGAAAGCGCAAGATCAAATGTCAGCTGTTCTCCTGCTTTA